ATATTTGTTAGGAACTATTTGGGATCAAATAGTTTCTAACAAATATCAATATTAGAAAATAGTTTTTAATTTGGAATAGTTACAAAATATTCAATAGAGACAATTGGCTTTATGCAATGTAAAATGCATGTGTATAAATACTTGAGGTACTAATATAAATACTTTGTAAACTAGTTGGTAGGCTTAATAATTTTACTCTCTTCCAAGTCCAAGGGATGACTGTATGCAAGTTCAGGTGACAGAATGACTCAAAGATAAAAATAATTTGACATCCTGACGATCTGCGATTTGTTATTTGTTTCAGTTTATATAATTGTAACCAAGAGAAGTTTTCAGAAATGCCAGTAAAGTCCGAGGTCGTTGTTGATGATTTTGCGTCAATCATGGCGTCACGCATAACAGAAACGTCAAATATATTTGAATTCCCCAGATCATTGTCTTGTGTCTATTTTTAATTTCCTAATTCTTGCTACAAAACTCTTCTGTCATATTCTACAAATACTGAACCAGTGTATGCAACGAATAGACGAATGTCTGAAAAATTGTGAAAATGTTACACAGTGCGAAATCTTTGTTTACATTTCAAGCGCAGTCATGCGACACAGTGTTTTTTTTCACACCCAGTATGTTACGTTTAATTGGAAATTTCACAAGCACACGTAGTGTGTAAAGTGAAATTATAATTTCATTAGTAAACATAGTAGATGTGATATTGGTATCTTCATCATGATATCCGGAAGTAGGCCATATTTAAAGCTAGCGAAGTCTCGCTGTGCGAGATCTCGCGAGGCAAATTACCCATAAACCCTTCTTCATAAGGGACGAAATTAGAAAAGAACACAGAGTAAAGGAAAAACATTTAATCAGATCATACAGATCTATTGAATTTGAACTTCAAACGGAAAAAAACCCTAGATGGGGTCAGTGGCCACAAGTCATCCAGTGGAGCGCCCTCCTCTTCCTGGCCAGCTCCGCTGTAGTCCAGACCCACAGCACTCAACTGCAAGTAAAGAGCATAGCATTATCAGCTATGACTTGGTTGAATCACTCAGATCAATCCAAAACTGTAAAATATTAAAATCCATTAAGATTGACATAAATTCAAAAACATTTCCTGGAATGAAGTTAAATCTTAGCAATGCAATAACTCTGAGAAATGCCAAACAATCTAGGCAATTCAGGGTGGGAGACAGGGTAGGGAATATCACATCTACGATGTTTACTAATGAAATTATAATTTCACTTTACACACTACGTGTGCTTGTGAAATTTCCAATTTCATGTCATAAACATAGTAGATGTGATATTGGTAGTTCAAAGCCCGGTAGTGTCAAGTATCTTTGACAAGCAGTTGCCACTGCTGATAGTATTTCTCAGATAGAAGGTTCTGAAAGTAGAGGCCTTGGTCCAGTTTCCCAACTTCAAAATGTCTGTGACAGAAGCACCTTTGGCAAATGCCTTTGAAGCACTAGCTCCTCTGACAGAATGAGCTTTGTAGTGTGAAGTGTCAATACCCGCCTCGCTCATAAGATTTGTCACCCATCTTGCAATACTTGGGGATGAAACCGGTTTATGCGGTTTCACATAGCTCAAGAGAAGGCCAGACCTACATTCATCTCTCCAAGGTTCTGTGCGTTCTAAGTACACTCTAAGGCATCGAACTACACAGAGTGCAGGGTCCTTCTCATAGGCACTGAAACTCAAGGGATGAGGTTTTGTTCCTGTCTTAGTCACCTTGGTTGGTTTAATCAGGGTAAATTCTACTTCAGTGCCCCTGTCTACCATGTGTCTGATATCCAGGGAAGATAACTCTGAAGACCTGCTAGCAGAGGTTAGCATCAGAAGCATTGTCAACTTCCCAGACAAGTTTTTATTCGACAAATATATATTATCTTTCAATTTTTTCAAATATTGCAGCACCAAATCTATATCCCAGGCCACTGAGTATCTGGGCTGAGGAGGATTCTGATTAAAAATCCCTGACATTAATTTCCTGACCAGTGGGTGCTGACCCACATTATAGCCCTCGATAGTGGGGTGAAAAGCAGACAAAGCTGATCTAGCTGTATTTATGGTCCTGTACTGACTATTCTCGTGGTACAAGTGAGTGAGAAAGTCTAAGATAGACTCCACAGAGGCTGAAAAGGGATCAAAACCCCGTTGATTGCACGAGCCAGTCCACCTATTCCAGGAAGCATTGTAAGCGCCTTGTGTGCCAGGTCGCCATTGGCAGGAGAGCAGCAGTGTAGTCGCCTCTGAAATTCCTCTGGTCTTGATGCTACGCCTGAAACCTTCCATGCCGCTAACACCAGAGTGTTGTTTTCTATCAGTGGATGAGGCAGATTTTGCGGGGAGTTTAACAGATCCCTCATCTGTGGGAGGAGGATTGGCTTTGTGACCGCCATCTCCAAGAGGAGTGGATACCAGGACTGACCTTGCCACACTGGAGTTATTAAGACCAGCTCCGCTTTTTCCTTTCGGATCTTCCACAGACACCTGCCTATCAGTGAGAACGGGGGAAAGGCATAAGGAATCCCCTGGTTCCAATTCACTAGAAACGCATCTGTTGATTGTGCAAGGGGGTCTGGCCTCCAGCTGCAGAACGGCTTCATTTGGAAAGTCAGTCTCGATGCAAAAAGGTCCATTGAGAAGGGACCCAGTATCTGGTTGCATTGAGCAAAGATGATTGGATTGAGCATCCAATCGCTCGAGTCGTTGAAGTGGCGAGACTCCCAGTCCGCATGAATGTTCTCTTCCCCTGGCAGATAGACTGCTGTTAAGAACAGACGGTTCTGGAGACAGAAACCCCATATCTGCTTTGTGATCTGCAACAGACTGACTGATTTTGTCCCCAAAATCGGTTCACATAAGCCATGGCTGTCTGATTGTCCACTTGGACCAAAATAGATTGATCTTTGATCCCCCTGCAAAAGGTCAAGAGTGCCAGACGAATTGCCTTCAGCTCTAGAACATTTATGTGCATACTCTGCTCTATCTCTGACCAGCGGCCTCCTGTTGATCTCTGGCCGTGTATTGCTCCCCATCCCTTTTTTGATGCATCTGTCTGGAGAATTACATCTGGATGAGCTGCCATGATTGGCTTCCCGTTGAAATTGGTGAGGTTGGTCATCCACCACTTCAGTTCCTCCAGACAAACCGAAGGCAGTGTAATCATTGACTCGTAACTCTGAGAACGCAAAAGCTCCCTGCTCGAATGCATCTGCAGGTAACGACAATGCAGTTGAGTGGGTAAGATTGCTCTCATTGAAGCTGACAGTTTTCCTATCAAACTTGCCAGTTGTCGAATCCTTACCTGTTTCTTTCTCATCATGTGACGACAGGTTGCTACAATGTTCTCTACCTTCTCCTCTGGTAAGATCAGAGTACGATCCACCGTGTTTATCTGAAACCCCAGGAAAGTGATCGACTGGGTTGGTGACAGAACTGATTTCTTCCAGTTTATGACAAAGCCTTGGGACTGGAGGAGAAAGATGAGGGTGTCCCTGTGTTGACTCAGCAGGGTCGGTGATTCCGCTATACACAAGATATCGTCCAGGTATATAATCAAGCGGATGCCTGCTCGCCGTGCCAAACTTACCACTGGGCGAAGAAGTTTTGTGAAAGCTCTTGGAGCTGGGGCAAGTCCAAATGGCATGCATCGGAACTGATACAGAACACCCTTCCAAGAGAAGCGGAGTAGCTTTTTCATGTGGGGTGCCATTGGGACGCTGAAGTAAGCATCCTTCAGATCCAGCTTGCAAAGGTAGTCCCCTTTGCGGATCAAGTCCCTTAGAAGGTGTAGTCCTTCCAACTTGAAGTGTTTGTAAGGAATGTGAGCATTGAGGGCCTTGAGATTTATGATTGGCCTCTGCCCTCCATCCTTCTTGGGAACCATGAACATAGGACTTAGAAACTGATCCGAGTCCATCGAAGCAGACTGGGGAACAACCTCTATCACATGTTTGCAAAGCATTGATTGGATCTCCTGGCTCAAGGCTAACTGTCTTGTGAGCTTTAGTTTTGGTTGAAACACGCGATTCTGAATAGGTTTTGACAACAGAGGAATCTCGAAACCCGAAACTGTCTGAAGTATCCATGGATCTGAAGTGATCTTTTGCCAGTTTTTTAAAAAGTGTACCAGACGACCCCCTATGAGGGATTCCTTGTAAAACAGAAGATCCAGGTTTAGCTCTAGAATTGCTGGGATAACCTGTATTTTTTTCCCACTCAACCGTGAAATTTGGTCGTAAGGTCGGCATTATGAGCCTGTACCCCCTCGACAGGCGACACAAAACCCTATGATTTCCAGAGACTCTCATAGTAACGTTAACGATATCTCACTCACTCAGTCACACAGAGAAAATACTGTTCCTTGTAATCAACAATTAACAAGTGTATTCTGGCAAGAACTAAGTATATTATTCAATACTTTGTATCACAAAAGAATTATAATCCTGCAGTACAAAACCAGAATGGCATTTCAGGTTTAATACCAGAACAAATACAATGGCAATATAATATATCAAGAGGTACAATTACAACACTGTTTTCCTCGTAAAAATGATTACTAAAACTATATACATATTTTTACCATAGCAAAATCGGAATGAAAGGTAATAAAATTAAATACTCTGAAAAGATAATCCTCTGGTTTCACTCTGATGGTGAAATCAAAACATACGCAAGTAAAATATACAAATACACATAAGGGATCTGGTGGTATGATCTGGGACTAGCAATAGGAATGCAATTGTAAATATAGCAACAAACATCACCGTCAGTATGAAACCCGTGAATATCCAGGCGTAAGTGAGTGAGTTGGGTTTTACGCCGCTTTTGGTAATATCCCAGCATATTACTTCGGTGGACACCAGATATGGGCGTCACACATTGTACCCATGTGGGGAATCGAACCCAGGTCTTCGACGTGACGAGGGAACGCTTTAACCATAAGGCTACCTCGCCGCCCTCCAGGCCACAGAACTGGTCTTCAGCAACCTTGCTTGTCGTATCAGGTTGTCAAGCTCGCTGGCTTGGTTGATACCTGTCATCGTATCCCATTTACGCACATCGATGCTAATGATATCAATCACTGCATTGTCATGCTCAGACTCGATTAATGCTGCCATGCAACAAACAATACACACTCATGCGCACGCACGCGCACATACACACACAACGCAATATGTTTCATTCTGGTGAACTAAATGAGTCAATCAAATTTTAATAACAATTTTTCCAATCCAGCTTGAAAATCCCTTGAAAACATCGCTGATAACAACCATGATTGTGTTGGCTCTTCCGTTCGATTGATGCAACTTGTTATATGACCATCTATTATGCAGGTTTAAAGTCCTATTGTGCAGCCACGCGTGTCTGTGGAACTTATGGAGGTTCTTATTCGTTCATTCTCTGAATCCACGTTGCAAGAAACACAGAACCAAATATCACAATCAAAAGAGATCCAATGATAACGCTTGTGTAGATACAACATACAGCATTTTTCGCCAGGACTCTGGCCTCAGAACGGAGTCCAAGATCTTTGTATCTTTTAGCTTCCCAGGCATATTTGTTGGCAAATATGGCGGGCACACAGCAGCATAACAGACTGAGGTAAGATGCAATGATTATGTGTTTGATTTTGCCCCATGGTTTGGGAACAAGTGACACGTCTGGTGGAATGTGAAGATGTACGCCTCTACTTTCTGCTGTCATGTCAGACGGGAGAGGTTCCTTTGTTTGGTCTGTCGTGTCGTCTGCTTTTGAAGCAGTGTCGTCTGCTGCCTTGGCCTCTACGTCCTCCATTTGTATCTTGACGTCGTCACAGCCCAAATTTACAGACATTTCTTTGACAGGTTCATGCGATGACTGCATCGAATATCCTGGAGACATACAAATATGATATTGAATGAAACATATTCATAATCAAATTCTTGATTTTTAAGAGTGACTGAGTGAGGCGCCGCTTTTAGCAATATTCTAGCAGTATCAAGGCAGGGGACACCAGAAATGGGCTTCACATATAGTATAACTACAGAGGCCCAGATAAGCTGCGTATCCGGGTAAAATACGCATAGAAAATTTCCAATTACGCATTGAAAAGTAATTGTTGCGTACCAATTACGCATTTAAACTGTTAGATACGCAAATAGTTTAAAACAAATGAGTACGGAATATACTTATAAAAATCGCTTGCGTAATGAAAAAGACATCGATTGCTATCAATTTGTACTGTTAGTATAGGACAAGTGTTGTACTGTCAGTATAGGATGACTGATTTTTTTATGAAATCATTTCCCTTATATTTAAGTTGGGTTTGAGTAGGTATCACATAAGGCAGAACATACCTGCTTAGTAAACTTACTCAATGACACAATACTTAGGTGTGTAAAATGACTGAAATACGCACATATTTGAAAGCAGTGGGTAACGGAAAATGAAATACTCACTCAACATTCATAATACCCATTCCAAAAAAATACAGTGGGTACAGTACCCACATTAGCTAAATCTTATCTGGAGCTCTGTTAACTATGTGGGGATGCTACCACTCCACCCCTAATAAGGCAAATCATTTCGCAAGATTAATATTCAGACTAGCTATTCTCGAAACTTCGTAAGACCTAAGAACTTCTTAAGCCCATTCTTAACACATTGGTTACGATCAAAGTTAAGAATTCTTAGGGCTACGAACGTTTCGAGAATAAGGGCCCAGAGAAGAAAAATACAATGTATGAAAATTTCAGTCATGTGATATTTAAACCAAGACGTACATATACGTACAGTGACAAAAATGTATAGTGACTGATATTGACTAAAGCTTCTGTATGCATTATTTCCATAAAACCATGCCGTATTAGACAGAGACGGACGTTCCATTTTGACGCCTGACAAACCAAGAACCAGAGTCCTGAAGAATCAGAAATCGTGTATACGATTTAAACTCCTAGCGGATCCTGCTATCGCGAAAGGACGCAACTTACTGTTTAAAGCCGATTACTGGAACAGTACATTTTTTAATGAATATGGATATTATAAATATATGAATATTATTTGACGGTTAATAACGCCAAAACTTGTCCCCCGTAAACATTTCAAGTGTTGCTTCCGAACTTGGAAGTGTTGCTCACGTATGGGTTCCTGTACGGCCTGAATCTCACTTCCAACATGTATAACATACTGGCGACATGATCAACATCCTATGTGTGCTTACAAGGGAACGTTATACACAAGAGTGAGTGAGTTTAGTTTTAGACCGCTGTTAGCAACATTCCAGCAATATTACGGAGGGGAACACCAGATGATGGCTTCACACATTATTATGTACCATGTGGGGAATCGAACCCGGGTGATGCGTGACGAGCGAATGCTTTACCCACTGGGCTACTACACCGTCCTGTCACACAAGAAGGGTATTTTTACCACTAAAATCAACTATACTGTTATGTATTATCCCACGATGATAAGACTTGCTTGAGTCTTGAAGCCGATACATTAGTTCAGTCTTTTGCAATTTAATGTTGACTTTGACGCATCAGAGAGTATGGTCTTTCTCCGCTTTTAGCAAGATTAAAAAAATATCACGACAGTGGACACAAAAAATTAGATCCACTTACTGATTCATACCCGATTCAACAATCAAAAACTAACCATGGCGCTATCCCACTGCTCTCTGGCGCATCGTTCACTGGAACGACGTCCAATGCCTTACCGTGTTAACTTTTATACCCTATGTTTCCGTGTTTTGTTTAAGGTAAACTCTTCACATGCCTTTGCATATATTTATGACGGGTGGCAGACAGGGATAGCGCCTGATACGCTCACTGTTTTGCGAACACCTGTATTCATTACTACTTGGTAGTATTAGTATACTTGGTAGGATACACCTAGTATCGTCACTGGTTTTATTTATAAAGAGGGGGCGATGGAGTAGCCTAGTGGTTAAAGCGTCCGCTCGTCCCGCCGAAGACCCGGGTTCGAATCCCCACATGGGCACAATGTGTGAAGCCTATTTCTGGTGTCCTCCGCCGTGATATTGCTGAAATATTGCTAAAAGCGGCGTAAAACCATACTCACTCACTCACTATGTATAAAGATGTGAGCATATATATCGATGGATTCGTACGTAGATTTTTTTAATGAATATGGATAGTATAAATATATGAATATTATTTGACGGTTAACGTGTCATTGTTGATATTAATTCAGATCAGGTTTGAGATTTTTAGGAATGAATGACTTATAAATTCTACCCTTTTTCGTACAAAACACAGTTTTAAAAAGTATAAGTTCACTCATATTTCCGATCTATCATCTGAACCAACTGAGGTTCTTGTAACAAATATACAAATGTGTGTTAGAAATAGCAGGAACAACTACACAAAGTTATCTACAATATATTTATAAATGAACTTACTGTTATGTAATGGACCAGTATCTGCTCGCTCGGGACAGGGCTTCCTGTTTATGTCGGGAGTATACCTTGTAAGGAGCTGCTTATATACGGTACATACACACCTCATGATAGCTTGCGCAAGAGCCAAACTCCTCTCATCGACGTTCGCTTCCTATTGTTTACCGCTATTTGCAAGTACAAGCCATGTGGATAGTATATAACATTATATCCGCGTTTACACTGACGTAAACGGACCACTCGCATGTCAGATTTCGATGTAAACGAGCCGTTCCCATGTTTTCTGAAAACTCCTATAACGTTATTGTATTTCACCTCTGTGTAGTCTGTTGCAATTTAGCCGAGTGATGCAGCCCCATTGTAGTCGACATGAGATCCGTGTTAGAGTTGGTCTTCAGCAACCCATGCTTGTCGTAAAAGGCAACTAACGCGATCGAATGGTCAGACTTGCTGATTTGGGTGACACATGTCATCGTATCCCAATTAAGTGGGTCGATGCTCATGCTGTTGATCACTGGATTGTCTGGTCCAGACTCGATTTTTTCCAGACCGCCGCCATATAGCTGGAATATTGCTGAGTGCGGAGTAAGCCTAAACAACCAACCAACCAACCTATTATAGTGAGTGAGGGAGTATTACATTCCAGCAACATCACGACGGGAGACACCAGAAATGGGTTTCACACATACACTAAACAAAAGAAACGCTACCCTCCTATCTTTATGAATTACTTAAAAACTATCAAAGATATGTTAGAAGGTATTAGTTTACAAGAAAGCTAAGCAAATCACGAAACAAATTCTCAAATGCATTCATATTTAGGTGAAATGTATCTTTTTCAGAAGAGTTAAATTGTCCTATTTTTGTCCATGCCGAAACTAAACCAATAACAGTGATTTAGATGGCCAAAAGAAAGGTTGAAATAACATTCTGCTCTGGGACAAAGATAAACCATTTAAAGTCACCATTTTTCAACTATTAAAACAAGAAACAACTGTTGTAGAGTGTGTAAAATTGTAAAATAATCATTCCTATGATGCCAGTCTTTTAAAACATTTCCTGCTTTTGCATTAGTGTAAACAAGTAAAACTTGTCTTTGATATTGTGAAAAAATGTTTAGGAACATCTAAAATTATCTTTGTTAACATGTTTGCTTGCAAAGTAACATTTTTCTTTTTTCTGTTTACATATAGCAATATTTATAGCCAAAACGCAGCAATATTCAAGCAGTATATTTGCATCCATTTCATATGTAGAATGATTCTATAGGGTATGAAGAGAGCCTCGAATACATGATATGATACACAAGTACGAGAAATATACCACGATTAACAGCTGAAGAGAGAGAAAGAGCCACTGGGATGGTGCAGATGGGGTCGAATACAATGCTGCTGCAAACGCCCTCAGATGCCACCGTATCATGGTAGTAAGACTTATTCAGGGCTTCAGACAGACTGGGGTCACCGTAGACAGACCAAGCAGTGGACGTCCACGCATCACAACGCCAGGTGAAGATAGGTACCTCCCACACGGGCGTGTCAGCTTAGAAACAGTGTTAGAAAGACATATAGGTATATCGACCCTACCCTAGTACTATACAAAAGGTACAGTACTAGGGTGTATATACCTATATGTCTTTCTAACGCTTTTTCTTAGCGTGACACGCCCCTGTGAGGGACCGTTCATAACTCATGGCTGGGGGTGGGGGTGATTTTTATGTGCAAAGTAAGTGACAAAGTCATGTACAAAACCAATGACCACCCCCACCCCATATTTGTTAAGCATAATTTTGTGTACAAAATTGATGACACCCCCCAACAGAATAAAATGGGTGGCCCCCCTTAAAATCATCATATCTCTCTCTCACTCTCACACACACACACACACACACACACACACACACACACACACACACACACGCGCCATAAATTATGAACGGTCCTTTGTGTGCACCAGCGTAGTTGCAGTACTGTGTAATAGAGAACCTCAGGATCAGGATGCAGTAAAGTCAGTGCTGTAGTAATTCCATGGGATGCAGTAAGTCAGGATGCAGTAAGTCAGTTTGACTGGTTCCCTAGTGTGATGCAGTATCTCAGTCAGCTGTAGTAATTCCATGGGATGCAGTATACTTCAACTGGATGCAGTAAGTCAGGATGCAGTAAGTCAGTTTGACTGGTTCCCTAGTGTGATGCAGTATCTCAGTCAGCTGTAGTAATTCCATGGGATGCAGTATACTTCAACTGGATGCAGTAAGTCAGGATGCAGTAAGTCAGTTTGACTGGTTCCCTAGTGTGATGCAGTATCTCAGTCAGCTGTAGTAATTCCATGGGATGCAGTATACTTCAACTGGATGCAGTAAGTATCAGTCATCTGTAGTAATTCCATGGGATGCAAGTTCAGGATGCAGTAAGTCAGTTTGACTGGTTCCCTAGTTTGATGCAGTATCTCAGCAGTATTCCATGCTCCATAACGCAGTACTCACCTGTTATGCAATACCTGTTTCATTACCCTTGTTCCTCGTTGTATTTATTGCATAGAAACACACCAAACTAATAATAGCCATTAATCAAAGTCACTGTCACAATTTCTACAGTTAACCACTGCTTCAAAAAGCTAAACTGAGGCCCACAGTTATCTTCCTGTAACCAGGGTATTGTCTGCTCTCCATTCTATGTTATTATTTACCCTGGAACCATAACACCTTTGTTATGGTGCATTTTCAATTTTCAGTGGCACCCAAACACATTGCATTCTACTTAACCATTGGAATAGACCAAATTTCATTCACAGTACGTTTATTTATTTAACGGAATATACTACCCATCAATAGTTTAAACTCATTAGTGTAAATGTAGCCACTTACTTCAATCAACTGTTCTAAACTAGATTTTGCAAAAGATTCCATACTGCTTAAAGGTACTGATTAACACCTGAACTGATGTATTGTAAAACAAATTCATAATGTTGAAAAGATTATTGTCATGAGTTCAATAAATGATGAAATTCAGTGAAAATTGGCAAATTCTTAAGAAAACTTTACACCAGCTATTCACATGCACGATATTTGCACATGCTTTTCAGCAATTTGATGCATGATCCTCGTGCAATGTATCTGTATAAGGTTTGCAGTTGGTTCCCCAAATTTACTGGAGAAATTCATCTTCGATGTAACCACATATATATACTTATTCAAAGAAATATGGGAACACCTGTCATTTTGGTAGTGTTCACGTAGTAATGAATTGCAACGTCCAAATATTACACTGTGAAGTAGATGAGGGATAGATGTGCAGAGTGTGTCAGAAACAGAGGTGGACACACACACTACTGACCTGCAATTGACCCTGTGACTTTCCAAACTGACCCTTCGTCATTTGGTTCAATTCTGTTGTGCTACACATCCCACGGTGTTTTAAAAGAACTGTCATATTCATGGAATAAGAGCAAAAGTATCGTATAACATTAGTTGTGCTTTGATTTCAATAGGCGTTCTTAACTTATCCAAAAGTAAATGAGTATTCCCATATTTCTTTGAATGAGTATACAAAACATATAGTGAGTGCTTTAAGTGAGTCTAAACTTTTGATGGGTAGTATAGGATCATCATCCGTGTCCGCTGAGTCCCCCTCCACTCTGGCAGCGCCTGTGGGCACCGCTCTTGGTGCCTCTTTAGGCACCACTCTGGGTGCCTCCCTGGTGCCATCCTTGATGCCACTTTGGGTTGTTAACAAGCTGTAAACAAAAACAAATGAAGCGCAATGTCTATTAACTCATGTTTATTGGTGTCATCTTCATAAAAACACATAAAAAACTGCATATTATTTGATAATTGCTGACACAAACACACACTGAGGTCCAGGTAAGTTAATGAGCCATTGAGTATTTACTCGCAAATATTATCAGTAGGTGTTGACACGTTTCTACAGGTATTCTATATGTCTTCAGTCAGCTGGGTTCAGTCTATTGGGTATGTTTACACCAAGAGTAATTAAATATTAAAAGAAATCAGCTTTAAGGTTTCCAGGTTACTTCAAATTCGAGGTTGTTCATGTGCTTCCCCAAGTGGGTAACATGTTGCTTTAAATGAGGTAGCATTATTCACTACAGTCATGTTTTGCTGTACGTGTGATCTGTCTGTACAAAACATCTGTGAAGGATGAAAAATGCTTTTGAAAATTACAGTGTTCAGGAGCTGCCTGAAGTGTGTAACATGTTGCATGAATTGAGACATGCAAATTTATGCATTATTCACTAGAGTAGAATTCAGTACAAAATGGAGGTACAATTGTCACAATAGTTCTAAACATGAAATAACACCGAAGTTAAATGAATATTTAAACTGTACATATTTTTGGAGACCTTTCTAAATGTCTGATGCGTCATGTCTGTAAAGAGATACAGCTACGCAGGTTGAAAAGTTTACATTGGGTTATTTCATAGTATTGATACTCTATTCTTTGTTCTTTAAAGTTTCCCATGCAACTCAAAATTAAGTGGGTAATGGCGATATAATTTTTTCATTTTCTGTCAATATTTATCTGGAGCTCAGCATCAACAAAAAAAACTCTACTGTGCATAGACGGATCCAGGAATTTTCAAAGGTGGTGTGGATGGGGAGGTGGGGTGGGGGCAGGGTTTTTGAACCCCCTGATACCCCTCTGGATCCGCCAATGCTGAGTCATCACTTCCACTTACAATAAAATACTTCACGGTCGGGGAGACAGTATCCCACAAGAACCAATAAAAATGTATTGGGGTCCGCGTGGATTGCATGATTTATCAGTACATATTAATTTCAATCTACAACAACCTGATACAGTCCTTGTTGACAAGGAATCTAGGAAGCATGCACCATGGTCATCAGTTTCAGTCAACATAAAATATCTACTGTAACACTGTCAATTTGAAAAACTACTTCACCACTCTTGACAATCAACTGACATATTTGTGAAGGCACACACTATCAATACCACATAGATGACATAGAGGGGCTCTCATTTTTATGGTGTGCCCATATTTCAACACTGGAGTTACATAAATACATGTAGCTATAAATAGCTATACACCGAGTTAAAGTCTGTACTTGTCCATCCACTTACACCATACAACACCAGGGTTGAGGAA